CAAACAACTGTCATAAGTTTTACCTGCATTTAAAGATGATGCTTTGTCATGGTAAAATTTATTTTATACGTATTAAGTCTAATCTTAGATAGCATCGAGTGAAATGGCTGCAACAATCCAACCTCTGCTTGAAATTCCTTATAGCCTTGCATTGATGACGAAGACAGGACCTTAACAGCAACATGAGTGTCAGCATTCAAGATGCCATGGTAAACTTCTCCAAATCCTCCTTTCCCAATAACCGTTTTGAAATTTGAAGTTATTTTGGCAATCTGAGAATAAGTAAAGCTTCCATTCATTGAATTCATTTGTTGCTCCCCCTTTGATTTCATGATGTTCCCCTAAAGCACTAGAAATTATCATGTATGTCATCAGCTGGTTCTTCAAATAAATTAGAGACTAAAAATTAAAACCAAAGTGCCAATGGGGGGAAGTTACTTTCCTGGCTAAGTTATGATAATTAAAACTCCAAACAATGTCAATAAATATGGAGCAAACATAATGTTAATCACAACCAAAGCACCAGCTTAAGTAAAACAAATATTTGGAAATATACTCCACTTGACCAAACCAGTTTTTATTTTTTCTTTTTAAAGAGTTACGATCAACTTAAAAACAATTTTTACACACATTATATATACAAAATTTTGATTATTCATCTCTTTGTTATAAATGGTTGATATTTATTTGATACTTATGTTACTTTTTAAATAAAAAAACAAAATAATATTTTAAAAAAAAAGGAGATAAAAAATGAATAAATTTCAACCATTCATAATGAGTAAATGAGTGGTTAAGATTTTATACGAGTGATACGTGTAAGATTTGTGTACAATTTTATAAAAAAAAAAAAAAAGAGAAATTCATAAACTATCACTCCACTCTACCAAATCAGTTGGTACCAGTTCCAAATGAAAGATCTAATAAAGAGCTTTCCATAGACACCAAACTTGCCACCAAAAAGTCATTGGAGCTCCAGGGGTGTCCACAGGAATTTCCAGATCAACACTTTCACTAATATTTTTCCTTTATTGAAATAATTCAAAGAAAAAATAAAAACACTAATCTAAATTTAATTCTATAATTACGCATTAATTAAATAATGAAA